TGTGTGTGTGTGTGTGTGTGTGTGTGTGTGTGTGTGAGTGAGAGAGAGAGAGAGAGAGAGAGGGATTTAGAGACTGAATCCAGGGCCTTCACTCTGAGCTATGTCCCCGGTACTCTTTTATTTTTTACTTTGAGGCAAAATTAGCCTGAAGATGCTAAATTGCCCAAGCTAGCCTTAAACTCATGATCCTTCTGCCCTACCTCTGAGATCTGGGTACAGGCCTGTGCTGTCACCTGCCTTAGACAACCTTATTCTTCATGGCACATTAGGTGAAATTCTCAGAATAGTTTTGCTCTAGTAGTGGAGAATGATGGTTGCTCTGATCCCACCTAATAAACCTTAAAAGCAAAACCCCAAAGGATGACACTATTTCCAAGAAACTCAACTGCATGGTGAATCAAATTTAGAGTAATACAAAAACATATGGCACCCCACAAGGAAAACTTCAGAATGCCAGGAACCCGATCAAAGGTCACTGGTCATACAAGGAAGCTAGAAAGTGAGATCCGGGAAGAAATGTCTGACAATGCCATCTTTCCCCCCTCACCATGATGTTTTTCCATATAACCATGGCAACTCGTATCTATTATTATTGAAAACTAATTATTAAATTGGTGTGTATGAGTTTTGACCTTGATTTTTTAACTATTAAGATCTCTTTTGGAAACTGTACTGAAGTCATCTACTTTATGAGTGATTTGAAGAACTTAAATCATTCCTGATAACCATACCCCAACACTTCCTCAAGGTCAGCGGCTGCGGTCAATTCAGCTGTACTTCAGCACTGGAAAAATAAAGGCAAACACAAATTCTACCTCCCTTCAATGCCAGTGGATTGAAGGTCGAAGTCTTGTTCCTGTCGAGTCCTCATCAGGAGATCTCAGCTTGGAGAAGTGGAAAGCATATCACTATGCTTGAGTAGCTCTGAGACAGCAGATTGTTGTAGCTAAAGAACCCCCATAGGTAAGCACAAACTGAGCGAGAGGAGCAGTTGATATTTGCCTGTGATTTTGCTTACTTTGCCCAGCTGTTGAGAATAGCCAAGTGGAAAGTCAATGCTGATCCTGCGTTCGGAAGATTGATAGTGTCAATAATCTGATTACCCCTTGCAAAAAAAAAAAAAAATGTTTTTTGCTAAAATGAGCTCTCAGGAATATCTAGAGGAAATCAAAGGTGTCATATTACCCAGTGTGTCTTGAAAGTCCTCTGTGGCCACCATTTCATTTACCTCTTTGATTATGACATAAGATGTCTGCGTTTTCACTATCATTCTTTGCTTGACCTTGAGCAAGTTGTGAACGGTCTTTGGACTTGTGTGAATAGATGCAAAAATGGAATGGAATCCATTTCCATTAATCTTTCCCAGAGAGAATAAAATAAGACTGTGTGCTCAGAGCCTTCCTTTGCCAGAAAGGCCCCTGACAGATATATAATGCATTATTGTTCTTGGAACCAATCCCAGCAGGCTGCTTGGAAAACAGAGGTGCTCAACCAAGGCCGTTGGCTGATAGGTTCACCGAGTGAAGCTGTCCGTGTGAGAAATCTGCCCTGGGAAACAGCCCCCTTTCAGACATATTCAGCGGGACCATGGGGTGAGCAGAAGTAAATGCCTCCCCTCCTCTGAATCAGCTGAGGGACACTGGCAGAGCAAGGTAAGATACACACAGTGTGGCTATAATCCAAGGAGTGCTTGGAAAATGTGCAAAACGGTATTGAAGACCTACAGAAATTAGTGATGCTGATGGGCATTTGTGAAATACAGATTTCCATTCATTGGGAAGAATCTGGGACTCCATGAAAGACAGGGTGTACATGTAGGATCCCAGTCTCCTAGCTCTCCGAAACTAGGAGGAATTACTACCGACGTGGCAAATGATGATTTGCTGTAACTGTTCTGTTTTGTCCAGAAACGGTGACACAAACTCACACAGGACTCAGAGCCTGGTATATAGCTCCAGCCAAACACAGTCCTCCCTATATAGACATGTAATAAGCCATGCTTAGTTCATCCCTCACCCACTAAGGGAGCTAAAGATCTGATTATTTTAAATTTGAAAATTTCAGAGAGATTTCGGGAATCATGTTCTAGATTGTGTTGTTGCATCAGAAAAGTTCTTGTCACACAGTTTTGATGCCTTCATTCCACTATTTTAGGGTGACCTGCATCCAAAACCCATCTCTCCCACCAGAGCTTACACATCCACCATCTCTTCTGTCCCTGCCACAATGCTTGTGATTATCTATTAGTCTTAATTCCCAGAATTTTTGGAAATATTTCCAGTAGTAATAATTGGATGGGTTAAATGAAATTTCACGTTGGGAGCTGATTTGATTTGATTAGCTTAGGACTGTCCTTTATCACCTAGCGAATAAAGAACATTTCAAGCTTGGAAGTAACGAAAGGGGAAATCTCCTAAGAATGAGAGTAGAAAAGCAGCATTGAAGTCTTGAGCATCTTCTATGCAAAAGATTAGCATTCTAATAATACAAGGGCAAGGGGGGTGAAAACAAAGAGACAAATTCCATTTTGTTTTGTAACCTTCAGTAAGGCTTAAAGGTATTTTAATTGTTGCAAATATAGCATGATTTACAGAATAAAATTCCAGATGAACTATGTTTCTCATTTCTTATATATGAGAAGCCATGCAATATTTAAACTTACATGTCTCTTTCATTTCACTTAATATTGTGGTCTGAAAGTGCATCTATTTTCCTATAAACTACTCCTTTATCCTTCTTTATGCCAGAGTAGTATTCACTGTGTATAAATACCATATTTTCTTTATCCATTCATCTGTTAATGAACATATAGGCCTCTTCCAAGTCTTAGTCACTGTGGGTTGTGCTGCTATAAACAGAAACGTAATAGGAAAGAAACAGGGAGAAAGTTCTCTAGCAAACGGGAGAGGAACCAGGAGATGCGGGGAGAAGGGGAACGGGATGAAAATAGAATTAAGATGTGCTGTGCATGTGTACCCACCGCGCAGGAGGATTGAACTCTATGCACTGCAAACATGTGCTAATAAAAACAAAAATTGAAGAAAAGGCCACCTAGCTTCACATACACACAAAAAGAATCGGAGAACCACAGGCTGATTCTCCCAGAGAGGCTATCTGGGCAGGATTTGGCATCATGATGTGAGATGTGAGCAGATGAAACAGGTGCCTGATGACTGCAAATTCGGGCTGGCCAGAACCCCACAAGCATACCCTCCACGCCGCAGGAGGCAGGGGCTGCAAAGTCTGGAGGACTGTTCCAGAGTGGGGCAGAGGCTTCTTGCCAACTCTATCGGCGCCCTCCAGATGGAGGCGCTCCCTGAGGCTGATCCCATAGCACAGACCATAAAGAGTGCTGCCTTGCAAATGGGGAGAAAACTCTTAGCAACTTGACTTTGATAAATGCTTTTAACTGTGATCCCAAAACAACAGGCATGCATCTAATGAGTGCCGGCAGCATCGAGGGACCAGCAGCACTGTCTTTGCATTAATCAATCCAGCCTCAGCCGCAGGACATCATGATTCACAGAACTGTGTGCAGTGCCATAGAAGAGCAGCTTGATGTTGTGAAAAGGACCCTCTGCTGGAAATCAGGAGCATAGGGAGGTTTCTGAAAACTTTACTGAACACCTGCTATCTGACAGAACCAGCACAATTTTGCTCAGTTCTCCCATTACCCCTCATGATGGGCACCGCGTGTTGGAGCCAGCTCGTAACAGCTCATAAGGGTCAGCCCTTTGTTGTTCACATCTCTTCCTGGGTTTAGCGACATCACAATAGCAGCGTGCAGTCAGCAGGGTGGGGCTAAATACATCGAGGAAATCAGCAAACGCATCAATGATTCAGTGCTCTTTGATTTTTCACTTTCAGTGAATTGCTTACTAAATATTGGCTAGCGCACACTGCTAGTGATCACCATCATTACTGCTGTCTTTTTGTAAGTGGGGGGATAAGTTCCCAGACCATGAAAAATTCCCCAGTTTTCCAGCGAGGCAGTAATGGGACCTAAACACAATCTCATTGCTACCTGAGTCCAAAGCCCATACTAATAACCACATGAGGTGTGACAAAAATATATTGTGAATGTTTAAGTTATAAAATTTGTATTACATTAAAAAACACATTGTTAGCTCAGTGGTTCCACTGCCTGCCTCGAAAGCACAAGGATCAGAGTTTGATCCCCAGTATCTAAATAAAATAACTAAATAATAGCATTGCTATGAATCCCCCTTAACTTACTCCCCTCACTTTGAATACATTTTCTGCCTCTTTGCCATCATGTTGCCACTTTCTAAAGCAGGTCTGGCGTCCTTTACCTAAGCGTCTTTAGCTGCACTGCCATGGCTGCTTCAGTCTCCTGAATCAACTCAACATGTTTACCCATGGTGGCCACTTTGACTTCAGACAAGAGCCAGAAGTTGCGCAGTGCCAGGTCCGATGTGAAGGTGGAAGAAGACACACTGTACACAATGTGTCTACAAACTTGCCGTGCCATTGACTGTCACTCGGCAGCAGCACTCGCCGTATTGTTTACTACAGGTAACAAAGACACTCTTGAAAGCAGACTTTCAGAACCGCTTCAGAAAGTGGCAAGAGTGAGGGGGTCTGCGTGTTCACAGTGAAGGAGAGTGGAACGATGGCGATTAACGGCAATGTGCCTTTTGCTGCAACGTTTTCTTAATTTAAACATCTACCGTGTGCTTCAATCACACACGGGTGGCGCAGAGGATCCCACTCTGATGACCTGGAGTCTGTTTCTTGGAACTCCAGCCTCCTGGCCATTAGATTGGGTGGCGTCAATGGAAAGTTCAAGGATTGCGTCCAGGTTTTCCAGTCTCCTGTGGCCTTCACCTTTTGAGATCCACACTGCTGCCTTTCAAAGCCTTCCAAGAGTAAGAGAGACGCCGTGGTGCTGGCCTCGGGCAGTTCATGCGCTGATGTTCTTTTCTTCTCACGCCGCAGGAACTATCCTCATCCTGCATACCTATTTTCATCTTTTAGAACTTGCCTCACCTTTTGCAGGCCGAGACAACTTGCACTTTGATTGTGACAAGACAGACCAACAGTACCTTGAGTGACTTGGAGACAGAGGAACGGGTCCAGTTCAATGAACGGCCTGAATGGAGGCGGTGATCATATGAGGACAGAGACATGATCGTTGGTCTACACCTGTGTGCCTTGGTTCAGAGTGGGTGCTCCGAAACTGACCTGTAAAACAAAGTAATGGATAAAAGAAAGTAAGAACATGTATGAACTAAATCTTATTTTGTAAATAAAATCTGCCAAGGTTAACTATATTTCCCTGACCAAAGAAACTGTTCTTTACATTCAAAGCCTTTAACTTTGTTTGAATAGAAACCTTAAAGAATAAGGAAAAGAAACTGCATCTTGGAACAAATACTCTCTCTCTTTTTTTTTTTTTTATACCTTGGATCAAACTCGGGTGCTTGCACTTGCAAGGCAGGTGATGGAACTGCTGAGCTAAATCCCTGGCACAAATACTGTCTTCTTTTCTTTCTTTTTTTTGGTACCAGGGATTGAACTCTGGTCCTTGCAAGGCAGGCCATCAAACCACTGAGCTAAATCCCCAGCCCCACAAATACTGTCTGAATGGGAGATTTAAAACTATTATTCCTCCTCCTATGGCGTGATCAAAGAGATTTCCCCTGGCTAAGGGGTTACTACAAATCTGTAAGACAGCAGCTTAGCAAAGCCTGAAAAACTTCTGAGAGACAAGCCAGAAGAGAATATAGATATAACTTTTCAAAGACACCATCAACCATGTAGAAAGATTTACATTTATTAAAGTTTACTCTCCTTTACTTAATGTAATGTTGCCATTCAGTGTTTCCAGATTGGAAGCTCAGTTCCACACCCAGGCAAATAAAAGGTGTTTAGTTCTTGGAAGTTGCTGTTTCTTACTGATTCTTTGTCCTCGTTTTCTTTATTTTTTATGTATTACAGCCCTAGTCTACCTAAATTTTCTTTCCTATTTCATCTTATTAGAATAACCTGAGTCCTTACTTTCTCAGACCACATCTTTACTCACCATAAGGTTACCATCTTTGCACTCGTAAAGTTAGTCTAAATATCTCTATTTAAAAATGCTTCAAGGGCCGGGGATTTAGCTCAGTGGCTCAGCTGCCTGCCGCACAAGTGCAAGGTCCTGAGTTTGATCCCCAGTGCCAAAAAACAAAGCAACAACAAAAATAAATATATAAAAAAATAGTAAAAATGCTCCGAGAACACAGACTCTCCTCTTCCTCCTCCTTCCTCTTCTTTCCCTCTCCCCTCATCCTCTTACTGTTCTTCCTCTCTTATTCTTCCCTGTTATTTTACAAATAATATATTTTCAACATTCTACAGAAGCCAAACAAAGAATATATTAAAAATCTCAGGTGTCTTCACTACTGCAAAAGATCATCACAGTAAGTAACCCACACTACCTTATATCGAGTCTGTGTTTCTTTCTAACTCAGCAAGTCTTCAGATCAAAGGTTAAAACCAGTGGTTTTCAACAGGGCCGTTTCACTTTACTTCTTTTCCTACCATGTCCTGGTGACATTTGACAATATCTAAAGAAAAGTTCGGTTGCCCAACTTGGAGGAAATTATTACTAGCACCCACTAAATGGAGGCTTTGGTGCACGATGCATAGGTCCACATGCACACACTCAAAATTCTCCAGCCCAAACAACCTTAGTGTCAAGATCCAGAAATTTTGGCCAAGACATGCTAGATTGTACGTCCTCTTTCTCTGCTCCCGTTAGTTAGTGTTCTACCTTATTCCGTATCTGTTTTCTCCTCGTGTCCACCAAATTTTCATTCGTGCATAGAACTAGTAGAAAATCAGTGATCATAAACTAGAGAATGAAGAACTTACTTCTTTTCTTTCTCTGCTACAGTTCACTGTCCCCCTCCATTCTGATTGGCAATTCTGTTTTCTCACGTTCTCTCCCTTAGTTCTCTCTCTGTCTCTGTCTGTCACACACGCATACAGTCATCATTGTAACCAAGTGTCCCAGGTCGATCTTCCCCACGTATCATCATGGACTGAATGAGTGCCTCTTCCCATTCTTTGGAGGGCTTGGACTTCAGGAAGAATTGACTGAAAGGGATGGCATCGCTAGAGTCACTAGAGAAGAGCTCCCCTGTGAAGACTGAGGGTGCACAGGACGCTCAGGGGGAGCTGGGACAACTGGAGGGCAGAAGGGAAGGAGAAGGCTTCAAGACTGGCAGGGAAGGCAAGGTAGCTCCCCAGCTAGCCCAGCTCCTACAGGCACCACGCACAATTGCCAAGCCCGGACATCGATTTCAGGAACCTCAGTATCCAAAGGGCTTCTACTCAGTCTCAAATCCCTGGAAGGAGGGGTGCATTTTCCTCTGTGAACTCTAAGAGGCTGAATCATTATGAGTTTTTTAGAGATGCTATGTATATGGGGGAATGTGCGTGTATACAGGCTGTTTCCCATTAATGAAGTATTTTCTTGTGAGTATAAGATATTTTTATGGTGTTCCGAGTGTGTTTTAACTGTAAGACCACAGTAGGTAGATAGTTGAGCCAAACAAAGTCCTCCTCACTCCCATTCCATTTGCCCACTATAGACAGACATGCAGGGCATCAAAAGTGAATTAACCAGACATGTGTGGTGGAGCACACCTGTAATCCCAGCACTCAGAAGGCCGAGGCAGGAGGATTTCTGTGAGTTCAAGACCAGCCTGGGCTACATAGTGAGTTCCAGGTCAGCCTCAACTACACAGTGAGACCCTGTCTCAAAAAAAACAAAAAATTTAAAAAGGTGAATTAACCAAGAATTGGGATTCCAATAATAATTTGGCAGATAAAAATTAAAATCTGACTGTACAGGACAACTAGGATAGCTAATATTTTTTTCTGGATTTTTTTATTGAGTTTATTGGTACAATCTAGGTATACAATACAGTTACATTCATCACTGGGATTCTGTACCTTTACATAATAGGTCTTGATTCTCATTTTTTCCCCTTGTCCCTGCCCTCCCTTCACCCCCTCCTCCCCTCCCCATTTACAAACACTTTGTTTCCATTTTTTCAGTTTCTCATATTTTTTTCCTCTCCCTTACTTGATAGCTATTATTTATTGGGTTTTATAAACTGCAAGTCATTTTCACAGCTCGCATCACTTGTGATCGCGCCATGGAATTAACATTCTCTGCTCTGCCACTTAGCATCTGTTTGGCTGTAGGCAAGCCACTTAGCCTCGTTGGACTTGACTTCTCATCTGCAAAAATAGGTTAATTATTCTCTTTTTACCCGATTCTAGCAAGATTCAAATAAAATCAAGTAGAGAGAAACACTTTGCAGGCAATAAATCACATTATAAATCTAAGCAACTGTTTTGCAGATGGGAAAACTGAAGCTTGAAAGGACTGGTAATATTTTGAGTGCTATCCACCTGGTAAGTCCTCGGAGGCTACACTCCTAGTCAGTCTCAGAATGTTACAACTTTGTAAGTCCCAGGTAAACCCAAGTGCGACCCACCTGGTAAATCCTGGACGTAGGTCTCCCACATTCATCTGTTTTTATTCTACATTCAGTATTCATTCCACTCAGAGATCTGCAGCTCTCCTTTCATCATTCACGTAGTGATCTGCAAGATCTTAAGACTTAGAAAGTCTATAATTTACATTCTGCCATCTCACGTGTGTTAACATAATACGTTACATGATGCACAGTGGACACGAAGATTGATACAAATGACCACAGAGGCTGTAGAAACTGAACACAAAATCTGCCTGCTTGACCTATTGATTACCTTCAATGTAATATATCAATGGAATAGAACATTTATTTCTACTGGTTTTACATTGTAATTATATATTAAGAAATACTACATAGTGAATCTGAACTGGAAATCGAAAATCAGACAGTCCCGATTTTAAAACCAGGCACTGGTCCCATAACCCTGACTAACTTTGTTTATGAACCTTTGGTTCCTTATCTGTAAAATGAGGATAACACTTCATAAAATTGTTGTAAGAAATATAACTGCTTCGTAGAAAACAAGCAGAGTACTTTTTAAGCAGGCCCAGCATATTTTCGCATTGAATAAATGTTATCTAATTTTATTCCTTGATGCTCAATTTCTCACTTGATGTCTTTTTTTCTATTATTGATCTCATTTCATTTCAATGCTGACAATTTGAAATTATGAAAGAAATATCTATTCGACGGGCTGAGAACAAAGATTTGTTTAGAGGATAGTGGGAAGAAGGAAAACTGAAAGTATCCCGTGACTTGATGCTGAAGGTTTTGTGTCGTTGCAAAGAAAAAGACAGAATAGAGAAATTGGGTTTTCTCCTATAAAATCTCTTTGTGAATAAAAGAAATCCTTCTTCTGGTCTTATTCAGTACCACAGAATACATGGCTGACAGCATGCCTGATTAGAAATCCACTGGCCTCTAAGAGAGAAAGCACACATGTGTCTCCCTCAGAAAACAAGAGACACATAAACATTCTTAACACAGAAATAATTAACAGGGACCACTGAATTGTCTAGAAGACTTTTGGAAGAAAACCAGAGACTAAAACCTCACACCAGTGATTTCCCTAAGTAACTGACAGAACCTTCTGCTCAATTTATTTTTGTCACCTTTTCCCAAGAGTCTCTACCTCCAAATCTGCTGGGTAAGAGTTCATTTTTTCTTGGAATCCATCCAAAAAATTGCTTTGTTGTTGGATTCTATCTTGCCTGCTGCACTGTGAAGTCTTGTTTCCCTGCCACAGATCAGCAAACACCTGAAAAGACAAGTATATTTTGGCAAAGCTGACACCCCGTGTCATCAAGCTGGAAGCTTTTTTCCTATACTTGTCTCTGTACATCATGAGGATAAAGTCAGCAAATGATTCAAAATGAACTTTCCTCAGTGCTTCTCCGAATCACTGTCCCTGCTGTGGTGCTTCATCCCACAGCAACCTGACCTTTTCGTTCAAAGCTTCCAATAAATTCCCCCCAGCTAAGTGCTGCCTCCCAGGGATTGAAAATTCCGTTAAAATTTCAAAAGACTGACATTTCTGAACACCTGGGTGAGAAACTCCTGGTGAGGTAAGACAGAGCAATAATGGAGTGGCCTCTTCAATGTACTGGAAACCTTCAGCATTTGGTAGATGAAAACACAATAATTTTAATGGAATAATAGTTTCACACTTGTGGCCAGGGTTCTCGGTGCCCACGCGGATATGCACCTTTCTTACTGTGATGTGTCTAGACAGTGAGACCATTGTCCCATCTCCAAAGATTTTATGCTCTTCTGCCTTCGCAGCCAGAGATGGTCTGTGATGTTTCCTTTTCAAGAATTTTTTTAAACGCTAAATAGGGAAGTAAATATTTTTGGAGTATCAGTGAAATTTGTCACAAAAGTCCCGGAAAGATCATGTCTATCTCAGGGAGAAAAAAAATAAGATAGGACCCTAACTAAGAATTCCAGTTTGTGAGAATCAAAAGAATCTCCTTGCATAAGTAGTGATGATAAATTCAAATCAGACTCACAAAAGGGTCAGGAGCAATTCTATCCAGGTAAAAAAGCATGTGGGATGCCCTTATTTTTCAGAAAGTAATGTAGGCTTTCTGAATAGCGAGCCATGAATGCTAACCATGTAGCAGGAGCATTTTCCTCCTGAATTGAATAGCACCACAAACCCATGCTATCCAGAGCAGGCAAAAGGAAGAATCCGTATGATAGATACCAACCCAGGAGAACACACTGAGGCAGCGGCAAGGTGTGAGGCAGGTAAAGCAAGCCCAGCTGAGATGGGACAAGCAGGATCCACCACCACAGGAAAGGATGAGTAAACACAAAATGAGAGGCTGTGAATCCAGGCCAACTCTCAAGTGTTCAAAATGCGGTACCAGGTAGTTCAGCTGAGGGTCGTTCAAGAAAACCAGTGTACATACATGTGGATAGATTCACTTAGTTCTAAGCTTTAGGCTTTTCATGGGTAGTCGATTCCAAATTCATCATAAATTCTATGGCACCGGGAATGCTTGGAATAAGGGAAGAAGAATAAGGAGAATAAGGGAAGCGTGCTAAGTGAGCTAATTCAAAATAATATTTTCAGCATGAGTTTCCTACTGTACCTACCACCAAGCTTGGTTCTCCCTGAGCCTGTGCCTGAGTAAGATTGGATTAGCAGTAGTAGCAGCTTTGGATCAACTCCATTCCACTCTTCTTTTCCCTTGAAACCACCACAACTGTAGGATTGGTGGCGCGCTCTTTATTATCTTAAACAAGTCTGCCAAAGATTGCCAGCAGTTAAAGACGACAAGTGCGGGATCATTCATAGAAGGGACGTACAAGGGAAGGTCAAAACACGTGATGAAGGCATCAATTTTAAAGATTATTACAGTAAAAGATACGTCCCTGTTACTCCCCATTAAACCCTCCCCTCACTTCAAACACACTTATCCCATCATTCCTGTGACTTTCTGAGGCAGTTCCGGGAGTCCTCTTTCATGAGTGTCTTTAAGAGTCGTAATTTTAAAAAAACCACGCAGTGAATGCTGCTGCTCAGTGCAATCCAACAGAAAGTCAGGCTCATAAAAACATTACAATGGGTCTCCACCAACCCTTTGCACTGGGTCTGGCACCCTGCAACTTCCGCTCTTCTGTAAAGTTGAAATGACCATGAAAAGTGAACATGTGGAACTGATTCCGGACAGGGCAAGCACCGCAGTACAACTGAAGACGCTCACAGAGGAGGACTTCGGATCTGCTTCCGAGAGTGCCAAGGACGATGGAACGAGCATGTTCAAAGGAGGAATATTGTGAGGGAGATTAATGGCCGTACATCTTAGTCTCATCCTTTCTCGATTTAAATATTCATGATATTTTTAAGTCACATCTGGTGGCTTCCTTTCAAAATTATCAAGATGATCGTATGTGGTAATCCATGCATGGTTTAAACGATGAAGTCTCATAATACTGTGTGCTCATATAGTAGTTAAAATAATAGTAGCTACAATAATGGTAATGATGATTATTATAAAGCATATATATCTTTCTCTCTCTGATAATTAAAGTGTCCAAAGTAATGTAAAGATATAGCGAACCCAGCATCAGCAATGAAAATGTAGATATATATTTCCACTAGTTTGATCACAAACAGATAATTCTCAGAGTCCATTATGGAGAAAGTGGAACAGTGCCTCATGTGGTAAACAAAAAAGACATTTGCAAAATGTACTGAATGCTTACTTATCTAAAGGGGAAAACATGAAAGGAGAGAAGACTCCGATAAAAATGGAGACCATTCAACAGAAATATTGATACTTGGGCTCTTTCTTCCAGAGATTCCATTATTTTTAAGGTTTGCATTATATTTAAGTTAAGCAGCGTTATGATAGAAGTCTTGAGTTCTCATATGAATGCAGTAGCCCTTTGATAAATTCTACGCCATTTGAAGAATAAACAACCTTCAAATAATTTAGGTGAAACAATATTTGTTTAATCAAGTGCATTAACTGAAGCAAAGTCTGTGTTATCTGTGATCATTTTAAAGGCACATCACCATATAATATGCCTCAGTGAAATGCAATAAAATTCATTTATACAAGTGAAGTAAGAACATCTAATTTCATGGAACATGAAATATCTTACAAAGAGGTCTTGTGCGCAAGTGAGAAAATCTACTCTGCATAGCTTAAGCGAAATATCAAGAGATAGTAACCAGTTCACAGAATCCTCACAAGATATGGAGTAGCATACATAATGCAAGTTTTGCATAAAAGTGTTCTCCACCAGAATATGGTGACCTATGCCAGCAAAACAGAAGCTCGTTGCTGAGCCTGTTCATATCACTACTTTTTGAGGCAAAATTACTTGAAAAAAAGCTTTGGGTTTGTGAAAAGTTGGTCAATATCAGTGTCTCAGAAGCAAAGGATCTAGGAATATGAGTTCAGGGCTCATAGCAAAGGAATTTTCCCTCAAATCGGAAGGGTATTTAAAAGAGGATGACCAGCCACAGTCTGAAAAACATCTACTGTATAAGGTAAACTTCTGATCGCAGGGAAAAAAATCTCTTTTGCATTTTTGATATATTTTCCTAAAATACTTTCTCGTCCCACCCTCCAGGCTCATCCTCTTCTCTCCGTCTGTCTGCAATGCTTTCCCCTATTCTCTGTGTTAGTCCAGATTCTCCCAGAAGTAACTGCCTGTGGCTCCAACTTCAAGGTGCAAAATACCTCAGAATATATTTAAAACTCAGAGTCAGTATCAACTTCCCTAGACCCTTGTGTGTATTTTTTTTTTCTCATTGAGTTTATTGGTACTTTTAAAGTATACAGTACAGTTACATTCATCACTGGGATTTTGTGCCTTTACAGGACAGATCTTGGTTCTCATTTCTCTGCCATCCCCCTGCCCTCTCTTCATCCCCTCCCCCTCCCCTGTTTACAAAGACTTTGTTTCCATTTTTTTCTTTTCTGATATTCTTTCTTTTCCCTTCTTTCCTTTCCCCTCCCCTTCCCACTTCCCCTACACCTTTAGCCCTTTTGTTCCTATGGCACATTGTCAGTCATACAATTTGGATCTTATTTACACTTTTAGTTTTTCACACCAGAGAAACTATTCGGTATATACACATGTGTGTCTTATTTATTTCAATTAAGAGTATGGCCTTGATATGCATCCATTTTCCTACGAATGACTCCAGTTTCTCATTCTTTATGGCTGAGAAGTACTCCGCTTTATTAATAAAACACATCTTTTTATTTTTCATTAAGCCTTTTAATTTGCTGCCGGATGTGGGAATGAGATCACAGTATTTCCTGCGGTATTTGTCTCAAGTGGAGCAGTTACCACTGAAATGTTTCTCCTCCTAAGCTTCCTCTTTCCTGGTTGTTTGCTCAGAGAGCAGGCTTGGGGTTGCCCATTTCTTCAGCTCAGGGCAGGAAGAAAATTACTACACACTTATAGCCATGAGTGTCTCATCTGTCTGCCTCTTACTCCACTTTTCCAAGTGTTCCTAGGTTGAGTGTCCAAGGCTTCTTTTTGAGTTTAGCAGGAATGGAAGTAAGGTGCTGCTTCATTTTCCCAGATGAGAAAGTCCCCCACATGTGCATTTTCTCCTACTATTCATCACTCTAAATGTTAGCTGCTTACTTAACTACATCTGCCTTATTAAGTTTTTTTGGTTTTTGCCATGAGAAGGCTATAGGAAAAACCATTTCAAAACTCGAGGATTTAAAACTATGGACTTTCATGTAGTTCTTGAGCCAGTAGATTGGACCTAGACTGCATAGATCTTCTAAGTTCAGCTGGGCTCGTCTGCACGACTGACGGTTGACCCACTGACGGCCTGTTAGTGTCACTTAGTGCTGTTACAAACGTTCTTTGTATCCATCCAGGATGCTACACTTGACATAGACTCACAGCTGAAGCACAGGTGCGAACAGATGCAAAAGAGTACAAAAGATTTTTTTAAGTTTCAGGGGATTCACATCTGCCAAACTGCTATTGGTCAAAGCAAGTCACATGATTGGATGCAGTGTACAGGAATAGGCTTTTTAGACAAAGGAACTCAAACTCCTGTGTCAAAGTGAACATTACAGATAGGGTGAAGAGGCAGGTCCATTTACACAACCATTCTACCACACTCCTGATGGAGAACTCTTCAATGAGATGCTCGATGTAATTCATTCTTATATATCTAGCACCTAAAGACACAGAGTAAGAGCTCAGTACACGTTAGTTTATATGACTGAGTGAAGAGCAACATTCAGATGTACTTGCCAAACAGAG